GATAAGTTGTTTTCATCTTACAAAAGAAAACAGGTTCTTTTGTTTGTTCGTTTTAGTGCAAAGCTACACAATAGGATATTTATGCTCTGCCCACAGAGGGTATCAAATTCCGATTTTCAGTGTTAAAGCCCTCAGACTTACTGCTGAGACACCGGGGGCATTCTTCATCGTTATTATTTCATAATTATTAATTTTTACACTTATGAAGATTATTTTGCATTGCTACCTCAAAATATAGTTTTAGGACTAATATAAATTTCCTAAACTTGATGTGTTTCATGAGACATAATTGGAATTATGGCCGAAAAGGTCTTTAACAGCGAAGCTACCAAATTAGTGATTAAATACATTCTAATCATCATAGGTTTTGCCTTTCTTGTGTGTCGATTTATTATATTATGTATTTTTAATCAGTTTGTTGTATAGAAATGATTTCATTAATTAATAAGTTACTTCATAGCTTTGAACTGTGTAACTAGCTTTCTTTTGCTCGAAAGTTATCAATAATATAAAAAACACCATGTTTTTGATTATACAAATGTCACCAGTTTTTTAACATCATAACACTTTAAGGAACTCGTAATGCAATAGCACAGAAAACATTCTTGGCACCATGCCAGGAGGTCGACATCTGCCTTAGGTTCTCAATGCTATGGTTGGCTGGTAACCAAGGTTCGGAGAGCGGAATGGCTTCTGTCCATTTTTCACTTGGTCCTAAGGCTCTCCTGGGAAGGAGGGCACATGATTCAACAACGTATGGAAAGCGCATAAGGTAAGAACTGATCTCTCTCTCTCTATTTTTCTTTAATTATCTGACACGGCGGAATGAGCCTCTCACTTTAGGAGATTTTGTTTCAGTGAATAAATAGTATTGTTAAGGTGTGGTTTGGATAAGTAGAAGATTCATCTAGATACACTTTGAAAACAGAATGGGTTGAAAGAACTTACAATAAAGAAAATAAAATGACACTAGCATATGTAGTTAATATTCAGATTAAACATTAAAAAGAATCATTAAGAGGGATTTCTTTTTCCAACACCTTATTTTACACGTAATTATATAATATATACAAGATACTAACATATCATCCAGCTAGCCTGTTTTTGGCTGAGCTGCGTTTTTACCTATTAACGATAACCTTTTTTTTTAAATATTGCTTGACCTCAAGGCCATTCTCAATAACTATATGAAATACTGAGAAAACAAAACTAGCCTTTTCAGAAAATGCTAGCGTATTTACAAAATAGTCCTCCGTGAGTCAGCAGTAAGTTTACAAATTTATAACGTTAAAATCCGGTGTTCGATTCCCTGCTGTGTACAGAGCGCAGATAGCTCATGGTGTAGCTTTGTGCTAAAACAAAAATCTCCCTTGTGGCTCAGCGATAAAGCTGAGGACTTATGATACTAAAAAATAAGATTTCGATACCCGTAGCGGGCACACCACAGATAGACCATCGTGTAGCTTTGCTCTTAACAACAAACAATAAAACAACATCGGAATTTAAAAAAATATCAAGAAATATAATTATTAATTTAAAAAATTATAATATTGTTGTGATCACTAAACGATATTTGTTTTCAATAATATTATAGCTATGAAATTGAACATTTTTTTTCTCTGTCGGATATATTATTGTATTGGTTGTCGCGAGATTAGAATATCAATGTCTTATAAATAATTTAAATTCAAACGTCACATGAAACGATGCAATGAAATTATTACGTTTTTTCTCTCGTGAAACGTCCATATTTCAAGTATTGTTAATAACTTAAGCATGATGAAAAAATAATGTTAATCGCATAATGAATACTAGTTGATGTACCCATTCAACGCACGCGGAAGAAATTGAGACTCCCTAGGGTTGACATAAGGTGCAGATTAGACCCCCCCCCTCCTCATGTCATATAATGAAAATAATTTTCCATCACTTTTGTCGAATTTACGTACCGCGTAACAGAAAAAAAAAAAGTTTGACGTCATACAAAGTGCAAACATATGGCATGATTCATATTTTAAAATACTAAATTTTAAAGATATTAAACAAAAAGTTAAAGAAGTCATAATTTACTTTGAGAAACCTTAATATAAACAGGGGAAAAAAGAAGCTTCTTTGGAATGGGCGAGGAAACTGAATCAGGGTGACGTCAGGATACTATTTAAGGCGTTGGCATACTTCCGCATTACCGAACCTGTGGAGGAATTCTAGTTATCTGTATCAGAAAGAATAAAGGCGTGCCAGTGTTAACTAAAGGTTGTCGAGCCTAACAAATCGCACCCTTCCTTCATCATACACTGAAAGGGAGGAAGGGACAATATCGCGGTGAATTATAACTTAACCCCCATAGAAATACACTTAAGAGAATCGTTTCCATGTTGTCTGTTGTTTTCTTAAATGGGGTACATGACGTAACCAGGGGAGGTCGGGGGATGCTCGAACGACTACCTCAATTATAGTATTTTGGCACTTGTGTATAAAGTTAAAATCATAAATAATATTCAACGTTAAACTGGTACACAATTAATAACATTTTATTTAGACGTATTTATGTCCTTCAAAAAGTTGACGACTCTATATGTTTCGACGTTACATATTACGTTGAATATTATTTATGATTTTGACTACCTCAATGTTCCAAAAAGTCTAAAAGGTGCATTAGCTTCTAATTTTTTAAATATAATAAATACCGGACTTTCATGTAAATCACTTAAAATATTTATGTAGAGGAAACGATTCATATTCATTCGGTTTTGAATTTCGCGCAAAGCTACACGAGGGCTATCTGCGCTAGCCGTCCCTAATTTAGCAGTGTAAGAC